AGCGGTCTTCGGGAATGAAGGTTCACTTCATGCAAGCGGTTTCTGACTGTTTGGTCGCTAATTAAGTTCCCTGAAGAGTGATGAAGCCTCACGGCTAACATCATGGCGGTTATTGTTGGAGCTCTTCGAGTTAAGATTTGAATGTATCGGTCTTGTCTCCGTGTGGTGCAGCGATACCGTCCTCCATGGCGCTCAGCCACGGTACCAGTGCTTCGGTATCGTGTCCAAAGTCGACTGATAACACTCTGACTTGTATTCAGAGCTAAAGCCACAGTACGTTGCCGGGAACCAGCTTCTATCATTCCCACGGCTCTGAGCATTTCTTCCCTGCTTAAATGACGTCGCCGCTCCATAATAACGTTGGTTTTAATCAGTAGTAGGGAAACAGTAGCACTAATAATGTCTTCAATGCGTTGTATGTTTTTATAGGGAAAATATTGACAGCTGATTTTCATCTTTTACTCGAATTTGATTCACAGTTCCTGATTCAAATTATGAAATGCACCAAAAAGGATCCATATAAATTTATAAAATCATAAATTTATTACAAAGCCACATCTCAATCTCAAGAAATCCGCATAAAAATGCTTGATCCCTAGACACTTTTGATGTGTGTATTATGAGATAGTTATAGTTATATAAGCATGTTTAATATGTGGAGGTTTTTAATTGGCTTTTGGATATTGTTGTTTGTTTATTTAATAAGTCATTGATAGCTGTAAACCTTCCTAAAATAAATAAATAAAAAAATAAATAAATAAATAAATAGAGACCCCATGTGATTAAGTAGTAAAAAGCCTTGACAAAAACAGGCAGAAATAAAAAAAATGTAGTTTTGTGGTAAGAAAGAGTCACTTGGACTTTTTGGCGGGATCGGAAAGCGTCACTTTAGCAGTTTTGTTTTTCTTGTTAAAAATTGTGTTGTGGCGGATGTTAGTGTCTAATAATGGTGGATTATTAACCACTAAGTGTTCGGGAACCCGCACAAGTGCTGGCAAGTGAAACAAATTAGCGGAAAGTGTCTTTCGACGTTCCCTCAAGATGTCCACGGGGAGGTTCCAGTAAATCCCCACACATTCACTGAAACATAGGGAAAGGGTTATTGACTTGACTGCCACTTACTTTGACTTGATTTATTACTTTGACCTCGAGTGCTATAGAATTTGTAAACATTTTAACACTTGACATTGGCTAAATGCACAAGCCGTGCGAAGCCATTTAAAAAAAAGTAAGAGTCACTTGAAAAGTGTAACTTAGCAGATTCCAAAAAAAAACTGTAGTCACCTTAGATTAAATCGATCATTAAAGCATTTTCTTATTTATTTTTAAACATAATCTCCTCCAAGTAATCCAATCTAAACGGTAACAATAAGGTCATCAGTGACACTTTCTATCATCGAATCCGGAGCAGAACAAGTTAAATCTAAACCGAACGACAAATGCAAACACTATCTATCTCCTTCACACTAAAAGGCGTGAAGAGGACAGATAACGTGACGCCCGCACCGAAGCAAACCTTAGTAAGGCTCAATCTGGAGTGTGACGATAAGATAATGCGGTATTATCTGGAAAATCCTCACCGCGTAGAACTGAACACAAATACTAGACGAGCTGTTGAATCGACAGTTCCGCAGGCACTTAATAGAAAAGCAAATAAAGGTTACCATGAACGCTGCAAACTGCACTATTTAGTGGCGCAGTTTATCTAATGGCTGGTATGGATTTCTACAAATGTAATATCAAACGTTGTTGAACCTGAACAGGAAGTCAGGTATATGCAGTCTGGTGGTCCGGGCGCGGCATGCCAGCCGCGCGTCCTTGGTGCCATTCGGCATAGGCCACCCCGTCTGGGGATTACCTAGTACCCTAGAGTAATCCCCCATAGGCGCGTCGCCCGGTCCACTCGTTGGGCCGGGCCAGCCCTAGGACGCTCTGGTGTAGTGGCGCACGAGGGTGCGCCGATCCCAGAGCGCCCTCATAAGGGCCGAGGAGGGTACCGGTGGTTTTTAGTGGGTAGGACCGGTGTTGTTCCGCGCCGGGGAGTCCCACACACGTCGCGCGCCTGGCAAGCGCGGTATGGTGCGTAAATGCATTTTCCACAGTCAAAAAAAAAAAAAAAGTAGTTGCAGTCTGGAGCACGGTTCAATAATAAAAAAATATTTGCTTTTATGATTTATTTTGGAAAAACACCTTAAGTTTTCGCCTTTGTCATTTGTCTTTATTTTTATTATGGTTTGTGTTACAGGCTTGTGAATAAATAAGTACTTATACGATGGTATGCGGCCACCATAGCCAAAATTGCGAAACCAAGAGTAACGCTCGCGCGCACGTTTACTGCCTTGACCCCATCCTGCAGGCGACGCGCGAATGATACTCTTATATCGTAAGCGACTAAAGGATATAGTGGCAACTTACCATCAGGCGAACCTTAATCCTGGTTACCTTTTTAGAAAAAAAAAACTGTAATTTTAATTTAGGAGCACTTGCACCAAAGTTCTAAATTCAAAGTTAAATTCATGTTTGGGCTTCAATCTTTCTCTATTTAGTAGAAGATCCGAACCTACATCGATCTTCAGCGAGCTGATAATAGAATTAAACATATTTTATCATAAATTTAGTATCCATCCATCCATCAGCCTTTCTCCGTCCACTGCTGGACATAGGCCTCCCCCATAGAAGGCCACAATGCGCGGTCCTGCGCTATCCGCATCCAGCGGCTCCTCACATTTGTCGATGTCGTCAGTCCACCTTGTTGGGGGCCACCCCACGCTGCGTCGTCCGGTACGTGGTCGCCACTCGAGGACCTTTCTTACCCAACGGTTGTCAGATCCTCGAGCGATGTGACCAGCCCATTGCCACTTCAGTATGCTAACTCTTCGGGCTATGTCGTACACACCGGTTCTTCTACGGATCTCCGTATTTCGGATCTTATCACGTAGGGAAACACCGAACATAAAATATAAATAGTAAATAAATTTAGTATATAAAAAAATATATTTAAAATGGGTTGCCTAAAAAATCATGGACAGACTACTTTTACTAAATTTTTATAAATATATTTTAAATTAAATGTTACCACATCAAGATAAAAAGAAACTTACTATTGTAAGTTTTATACTTTAAAAGTAAAGAATGTGCAGCCATTCCATTGGGCAACGTAACTGGCATCGACATGCCTGTTTATACCTGGCAACCCAGTAGTCCACCCGGGTAAATAATATACATTGTCCGTTGGGTTTACAAAAAATAATATTAATTTTAATTTTTATTTATTTTTATATTATTAAATTTTCTTATTATCTTTATGTTTTTTTTTTATAGATAGGTCCGACAAATGGCTCCACCCCACCTAATGTTAAGTGACAGTGAAGTCCAGACGCGTAGATAGCTGATACAGCAGTTCTACCTGCCACACCAGCCATCCTCACCCTGCCGGCCTGCATGTTGCTTCTTCACGCCTCTTTTAAAGGATCCCAGGTTGTAAGAGGGAGGGAACACGTGAGCGGGCAGAGCATTCCATTTACGGATAGTGCGGCAAAGAAATGAGTCACCAAATTCCTTTGTTTCAACATTTAATTAAATTTTCTTTTTTTAGGCAACCCATTTTTAATACATTTTCTAATATACTAAATTCATCATAAAATATACTTCATTCTATTATGAGCTCGGTGAAGGTCGATGTAGGTTCGGATCTTAGACTAATTTGACCTTAAATAATTGTCGTGTGTAAGAACTTTTACTCTTAGTGCAAATTAAATGAGTTTTAATATATAACGATAAGCAATTTTATCGCAATCCCATTCAAACAACCATCAGAATATAAAGATCGATAGGATCATATCGTATTAATTACTAGTATTTTACAAAAAACCGGTATTGAAAACAATCGATAAGCTGATAAAACCTCACACGTAATATTATCATTACCTTGTTTTCTTGACACCGTTCCTGAATTATAAAAACCGGTCAGTGTGCCATTGTTCATAAACGAAATCATTAATAATAATTTCTATCTTAAAATATTCATCTAAACAGATAACCAGTTTTCAAACCTTGTTGTTTACAACGCTGGAGTCTGGACTGAGTCTGCAAGGCTAAGCTCATGATGCATATTGCCTAATTTAGTTCCAAACTTATAATATTTAAGAACTCTCTGAGGTTTTTAGAGTTACTTTGGCATACATGTAGACTGTAGATAGATGTTCATTACGGTTAGCCTCTAAGCAAATGGCTTGGTTGTTAGCTTTCATATTCAAAATATGGAAGTAAGTGGTATTTATAAAAAAAAAATATCTGTCACATTCTGTGGTGCCTTAATTAATTACTCTGCCAAGCCCGCTAATGAAACCGGCCTAGAGGCATTGACACAAAAAGGTATACAATGTTGTTATGTAAGGTTATATAGTATATAATAGGTTTAAGTTCGTAGCTGACACATTGACTCTGATACCGTTTACGCCAAGATTTCGTCAAATCGCCTCTCATAATGTCACAAAACGGACCCAGCACGAATTGGCGCCCACATATGAGTCTCATGACGCTACATCACTCATAGTATCAAAAAAATCTACCCAAGATCTAGTGTGTATTCAATATGTAATGCTGTTGCATTACACCGTGTATTTCGAGTTACCCGAGAAACTTAAATATCGTATAAATAAAAATAGTGATGACAGTTATAAATAGTAAACGTACTACATCGCCATACAAAAATATTGATTTATCGTTTACAAAATAATCTATAACATACCTGTATAGAATTATTATGCGTTTAAAGTACGTTGATCCTAAGTTTTATTTGAATCAATTTATTACAGCTAAAATTGTATAGATTTCATAATTGCAAACTTCGAAAAAATATCAGAGCATTTTTTTTGCTAATTATAACCTAATATCGTTGTTTTAGTAACAAAAAAGTCACGGTGTTTAATTTATACATAACATTATGTATTGGTGTAAATAATTTCAATATGTACTAGGTATTTTTTTAATTAACTTACCCGATCTCCACATTGTCCAACCGCTGGTATTTAAAACCTCTGGACAGCATTTTGTCACCTTACCACACTGTACACTATCACTGAACACTGAAACTATATATCATTTTTACACTATGCCTTTACACTGAATCTCCAAAAACTGTCGTGTATCTGTTAAGAATCAAACGTAATGTTCCAGCCTAGCCTTTACACTATAACTTTACACTGTATCTTCAAAAATTGTCGTGTATCTGTTAAGAATCAAACGTAATGTTCCAGCCTAGCCTTTACACTATAACTTTACACTGTATCTTCAAAAACTGTCGTGTATCTGTTAAGAATTAAATGTAATGTTCCAGCCTAGCCTGCTAGTGTACAAAGTTTGACATAATTACTGAGCTTTACCCCCAATTACGTCTCTGATAAATATTTATCTATCTACTAAGTTGTTTTTAACGGATTATAAAACTGATATTTTATCGATTAATACTAAATTTCTGCCACTGAACAACACGGTGTTTAGTAAAACTAAACACGTGCAAATATTTAGGGCAGAGATGAGGAGTAATATTTCTGTTTACTAAACAGTGCAAAAAAAATGCCTACGATACAATGGTAAAGTAATGGGATATACTAAAGAAAGCAGATAGCAAGTTCTACAATAGAGTGAATGAATGGGGTTAGGAAAAATTGTACGAAAAGTTAAGTTGGTAATGCCAAACAATATACATTATGACGTGATATAACTTGAAAATGGATAAGTGATATATGAGACGTAATTTAAGATGAATTTTATCTGGACACAATTTAATGATTTTCTTTTAAACTGAATCTCAAATACACTTTAATAACGAAATAACCGCTAATCGTGGTAATTACTATGATTTTGCGCAACATCGCTAAAAACAAATTCGTTTTGCACATTTACTATTAATCATTACTTTACCCTACGTATATACTAACCTAATTATTTATATATTTCCAAATTATGGTTCGAGTTAACCCATAAAGGTGTCAACTCACCCGAGCCTTTTACTTACACCAAAATATTTGTGTCACAGCTTATATAACTGCATAAACATTACACTACACTACCTATAGAAACTGCAACTTGCATCGGATTACACTTTAGATAAAAAATAAACAAAAGCCTATATTCTAGAATTCGTTAACCGACTGTAAAAATCTCGTTCTAAAAATAAGCTATGCCGTTTTGAGACACGATCGATATTGAAGTAACTATGGACAACAATGATAAGATAATCGTTTAGAAATGTCCCCAATAGCTACAGCTCAGACATTGCACTACGGCCGTGCGCAAAACGGTCTCGGCTGCAAAGCAAACTTATTGACGAACAAACGACGAAGCAAACAAACGTTCATGCTCTGATATCTAATCTACAATACTACAGCACAGATTAGTTACAGAAAGGAAATAACTAATACCTTATCAAATATCGAAACTTAATTTGAACTAATACATAAATTATGAATTTAGGTATTTAATAGAATCTGGATTTGGAGTCATCATCATCAGCCTATTAATGTCCCCACTGCTGGGGCACAGGCCTTCCCTATGGATGGAATAGGGAGATTGGGTCATGACCCACCACGCGGGCCCAGTGCGGATTGGCGGGTGCTAACGACTGCAGATGCAGCCGGGACCAACGGCTTAACGTGCCTTCCGAAGCACGGAGGAACTCGAGATAGAAGATTTATGATCACCCATCCAATGACCGACCACCGCGAAAGTTGCTTAACTTCAACGATCACAGCCGAACGCGCTAACCACCTGCGCCATCGAGCTCCTCATGGCGGATTTGGAGTACCTGCTAATAAATGTGAAAAATTCAGACAAAGACTCATATCATCAGCACCTTCCTACAATCTGGGGACTTTTAAGAGAACTATATGTAATTACATTTAGGACTAGGGATACTTTTAATTTACATTTACCTCGATCAAATTCAGCATTTTTTGAAAAAAATGGTTGCCTGTAAAGTCGGTTTTACGGGCGAAGATTTTACGTGACAACGTCTTTTTCTCGGTAGAATATTTATTGATATGAATATAATTAAATTGCACAATAGGAACAAGGAATTGAATGAAAATAAGAATTGCACAAATTTTAACTATAGAAATATATTTTGTTTACTAAAACATTGTACATGTAAACTTAAACTTAACACGAGAGACTCATCGTAACGTTACCGAGCGTTACACTTTTTCATAAGTGACTCCCAGCCGCAACCTAATTTAAGACGTTGTCACGTCAAAAAAAATACTTATATGTCTGCCATACGAATATACAATAATTTACCGCCTTATCTGCGGTCACTTTCTGAATATAAGTTTGTAAGGTCCCTGAAGCAATGGTTAATATATAATGCATTTTATAATCTAAATGAATGAATTTTAATAATAATGTTTTGTAAAAATTGACTGTTGCATGCCCGATTAGGGTAACTGTTTATTTCAATTGTGTGCACTAACATCTAGCAGTGTCACTAAATGTAACAGTTTTGCAATAAAGAATTATTCTATTCTAAACGTGAAGAAGTATTGCTGTAGGTCGGCAAGGTGAGGATGGTTGGTGTGGCAGTTTATAACTGCTGCACCAGCTACCTTCGCGTCTCGACTTTACCACCACTTAACATCGGGTGGGGTAGAGTCGTTTGCCTACCTAGCTATAAAAAAGATACTTCAACTCAAGCCTTAAGTGTTAAATGTTTTAACGTTTTGGATACCACAGATTAATATTATGCATTCGATACAAATATGTTTATAGCATGCAGTTCTGTGGGAGGAGGATGAGGAGCTCGATGGCGCAGGTGGTACGCGCGTTTGGCTGCGATCGTTGTAGTTAAGCAACTTTCGCAGTGGTCGGTCATTGGATGGGTGACCAAAAATTACTATCTCGAGTTCCTCCGTGCTTCGGAAGGCACGTTAAGCCGTTGGTCCCGGCTGCATCTGCAGTCGTTAGCACCCGCCAATCCGCACTGGGCCCGCGTGGTGGGTCATGGCCCAATCTCCCTATGCCCCAGCAGTGGGGACATTAAGAGGCTGATAATGATGATGATGATGATGCACTTCTGTGAAGTTTCTATAATAAGTTTGATAAGATTCGCCATTCACCTATCTCTGTAAAATTAATTAATCACATTGAATATTAAAAATGATTAGCATAATTATATCTTAAAGTCACAATCACGCGGACATCAACAATCATTCACCATATTAATTTAAAATACCACTAACGGCTGTTCCCGCAGTTCTAATGAAAAAAAAACACTTTCACCGGATTACACAATTTGTTATAAAACTCAAGGAATTACATAAAAATAATGAAACTGTAACAGCTATTGAATGCAATGTAGCTGTAGCAATGACTGAATCATTTGATTAGATATTTGATGAACTGTTCGGTTTAACATTTTTTTTTACTTAAATAGTAGAGATGGGACGACTAGCCGCTGACTAGTCTGGAAAGACGACTATTCGGCATCGTTTAAAGTCGGCGATTAGTCGACGACTATTCGGCAAAACATGCCGATTTTAATCGGCATATACAGGTAAGGTAACTCAATAAGAATTATGAACTTAGGAATCTGCCAGTAATACAGATAACTTAACACAATGAATATCGCACATAACAAAATAGCAATGGGAAGTTAGTATGTATTAATTGAGTAAAATCTTAAGATAGTCTTAAAGAAGTCCACACGTATATTTTATTCCTTAGAGGCAAATTGTGATGTTGGAACGTGAATATTTCGGCTTAATTTGGGAGACTCGTGTCGTGCGTGAGCAAGCCGAGCAGTGACATAATATTCCGGACATCTTCCTAAAATAGGTATGAGAATGATCTGCTTTGCTGAATAGTCGGCAATTCGAAAACCGATTAGTCGGTAGTCGGTTAATCGGCAAATACTATAGTCGGCCCATCCCTATTAAATAACTATGCAACGGAAAAAATGTATTCTTCGCACTATGAAGTTATCAATGGAACTGTATCCACTGTGAATTAAAAGAAATATTGTGATGATGTGAATCGCTATTAAATTAAAATTATGTTTAATACGAGCGACTTTTGTTTGCCAAAATTAGTCCGCTTACAACTACATCGAGTAATGCACACGAAGGATTAAAAGTCCCGCGTACTAAAGTCCCCGTACAACCGAAGAGAGCGAAAGACCAGACAGAACAGATGTTAATTATTATATTAAGTAACATGTAGTTTTATGAATTTAATTTTGTTTTTATTTCTCTTTAACTATAATGCTTTAATTTACTTGACCGCATAATGTCTCTGCTTAGCCCGATGGTTGACTGGTAGAGAATGCCATGTGGCATTAAGTCCGCCATTTGTAACAAAACAATAAAGAGTAAATAAATAAATAAATAAATAAATAAACAAAAGTACGCAGTTGTCCCCGAAAAAATAGAACTTATGCGACTAAGGCCCGTATTACAGAATGACAACTAAGTGTTGATCTTTACTTGAGTACAGTTAGAAAGGGATATCGCTATGTGCTATATATAGCGCCATCCCTTTCTAACTATGCTCAAGACTAGATCAATCACTGAGAACCTTTCTATAATACGGGCCTAAGCAAAGCAAAGCACACAGCGAACAATAGTACGTGTTGCTCGCTCAATGTGATTTAAAGGAATGGACCCAGTCAACATCATCATCAGCCTATTAATGTCCTCATGGAATAGGGAGATTGGAACGTGACCCACCACGCGGCCCCAGTGCGGATTGGCGGGTGCTAACGACTGCAGATGCAGCGGGGAGCAACAGCCTAACGTGCCTTCTGGAGCAAGGAGGAGGCTCGGGATACAATATTTTTGGTCATCCATACAATGACCGACCACTGCGAAAGTTGCTTAACTTCAACGATCGCAGCCGAACGTGTTAAAAACCCGCGCCATCGAGCTCCTTAGTATTCTACTTTAAATCGTTTTCTCTTTTTCTTAAACCTCATGTTAATAACAACACAATTTAATATGAGAATATTCACTTAAATAGCGTTAGCTTTTCTAAATTTTCGAAGATGAAGGACAAGTCCTCATAAACATTGTCTTCAGGGACCTTTGCCCTACGCGGACAAAAGTACTTCGTTTGCGCATGCCATATCATCATCATCATCAACAACAGCCCATCATAGTCCACTGCTGGACATAGGCCTCTCCAAATGCACGCCACTCAGATCGATCTTGGGCTACTCGCATCCAGCTCCTGCCAGCCATCTTGCGCAAATCGTCACTCCATCGCGCCTGAGGACGTCCTACACTACGTTTGCCTAGACGCGGTCTCCACTCCAGAACTCGTCTACCCCAACGGTTATCGGTTCTTCGGCAAA